TCCTCCTCTCCCAGCTCCTGCGGCAGAGCAGCGGGGAGCCCAGCTGCGCTCCCGCACGCCGGCTTTCCGCTTGGCATCCGGCGACAGTCGCGGGTCACGGGGCGATGGCCATGGGCTGGGACGCTGCTGCCAGGGAACTGCAAGAAGCTCCGGGCTCTGCCGGGTTATATTTGGGATTACGGAGACTCAGGGAAGGATGAGGATGGAGGCAGACATATCACATCTTCTAAAATGTGGCGTGGAGTGGGATCTGGAGTCTGCAGGTCTGAGCCATCACATGCAAACCTAAGCAATTTTTTTTTTCTTTTTTTTTCCCCCCTGATTTTTTTTCTTTTTGGAGAAGATTAAATCCTTTGGAGGGACTCAGGGGGGATGCAGCATGTCGAAGCTTTGCAGATGTGGGACCAGAGCAGCATGCTGGTCGAGGCACACCTGGGGTGCTGCCTTGGGTACCCCCAAAGGCTGGAACTACCTGATGCTATCAACACGCTCTTAATTCCCCCCAAATCTTTATCACAGCATAACCACAGATGCAATGGCATTACCAGCTATCAGTATCACTTCTTCCAGTCACTGATAATTCCAATTATCTCCCTTGAGTATCCCCTACCCCCACCATCTCGGAGCATCCCAGAAGCCTTCATCTCTCTGCACAAAGCTGACTGATGGGGAAATGACAGAGGAGTTGAAGGCACAGGTCCCCAGGGGCAGACAGGTTCCCAGGGGCAGATATACAAAGATACCAGTTCAAACAACCAGGCTGTAATGAAGCAGCGTGGAATGCAGAAAGCAAATGAAGAATACTGTACTACCAGCCTTACATCAAGGAATCGATACCACGCAATATATACGAATATAAGAGAAAGGTGGGAATTTTAATGCTTTCAGTGTCGTTCTGAAATTCAAATACTGCACAGGCCTGCGGGTACACGCTGCTTTGCGGGTGCTGGGGTGCTTTGTGTCCAGGTTTGAGTATGTCCCCTGCAGCTGGGGACAAGCCCCCCCATCCCCAGAGTCACTCCAGCATGTGGGTCAGGCTGCTGGGACGGGGACACCAATCCTTGTGCTGCCCTGGGAAACTCAGGGAAAGCCAAGGCTTTGATCTCAGCTTGATTTTGGCACTCCTCACATATTCCTTTGCTTTTTGACCTCCAAACTTTTTGTTTTTAAATAGAGTTCATTTTCTAGCTGATGGAGCTCTTTTTTCTCCTTACATTTATCCGCCTGTTCACCCTCAGACGGAGTCGCGTGGAGGCAATCCATCCCTTCTCTGCAATCCATCCCTTCTCTCTACGGATTGGCAGGACCCTGAACCCCGGCATCACCCGCACCCCTCCCAATGGGTTCGGCTCCTTCACCTGTGGATGCTGAGGCCAATCCGCAGCCATGCCTCTGCTTTCTCACCTCCCCACAGCAGTTTTGCTGCTTATCACCCTTTTTAAAAATTTCTCCTTAATCATTTCAAAGTCTTTGCTTATGTCAAATAGGGGACCGAGGGCCCCGAAGCTGCTATTTGGGAATTAAAGAAAAAAACCAAAAAACTATTGAATCTGCAAGCCAATATCATGGGCAGAGGCACATCAGCTTATGATTTTTAATTCCTGCTACCAAAATGCACGTAAAGGATGACATGATGACAGCCAGAGCCTTGCTGTGCCAAACGCTCTCCATTACTTTTCCCCGCGGGAATTGAAATAGGAAAATAAAAAGGTTTGTGTGCAGCAAGGATGGGGTGGCAGGAGCAACCGCCTTCATCCACACTGTCAGAAAAGGCTTTTTATCCCCTATTTTTTATTATATCCAATAAAGGAGTTGTAAGACAGGACCTGAACCCCCCCCCAGGGAGGCTTTTTCTGAACCCCCCCCCCAGGAGGACTTTCTGCTGTGCTCAAGCAGTGATGCTCTGACTCCCTTTCTTCCTCCCCCCCTCCTCCTCATTGGCTCCTACAAAGAAACCCCGGGTCAAAAATGAGCAAATAAGCAGGAGAAAAATTTTATTTACATCTTTTGAGCAGTAACACAGCTGCAGCGATTCACTGGGAAGAAACTCCAGGAAGAAAACTCAGTATGCCATGCCGGCGGTGCCCCGCACGGGGGGAACCCTCCTCCCACCGCACAGTATCTCAGGTCGGTACAAAAATTGTCGTCGCTTTAGAAAAGGCGCAAGATTCACAGTAAAAGTACCAAAGGGGACTGCAGCAGGGAGGAAAGGTGAGGCACACACTCTGGGACCTCATCCCTGCTGGTATTTGGTCTATGAAAATGCATTGTACAGCAACTCTTGTAGAAAAATTGATCCCGAGGGCTCGATGCATGCACAGTTGCCGGATTTCTACATCTACTCTAGGACTTAAAGCCTTAAAACAAGCACTCAGGTGGCTCTCCTGGGGCAAAGATCTCTGCAAGACCTTGCAGGGGGCAAACCTCTCTGCAGGAGGCATTTTGCAGCGGCGAAGGATGAGACACAAGAGCTAGAGGAGGGAAAGCGGGGAGCAGCCCGCCCAGCCCGGCACTCGGCCCCAGCCAGGCTCCTTTTAGAGCCTAAAACCCCCCCCATCATCTCCTCCCCTCCTGCCCAACACCATTACAAAGAAAACATGTCGTTTGACCAGTTCTAGACTCGTGTTTAAAAACAGCCCAGACCTTCGTCGGAGGGTCATGGGAAAATCTAAAAATCTTTCTTAAATAGGATTTCATTGCACAGTGGAAGATTTGAGTCCTCCCTGCCTGGGAGCTCCGGGGGGGTGGAAAAACCCCCAGGGACATCACTGAAACCTGATGGTCCCTCTGGGACATGGGATCTGGGAAATTCCCATCCCGAGTGGGACGCGGATCATCGCTTTCACCCACAGACAGGCAGCGAGCAGGCAGCGGGCAGGCAGAGATCCCA